ATATATATATATATATATTGTCTTCGGTATTCAAAAATATTTGTCTGCCACAGCTGGTCAATCGGAATCAAGTATTCCAGTGTGCCAGTTAACAATAGCCTCACAAATAAAATTCAAATCACAGGGATCCTCAAATCTGGCCTACGAAATCCACTTTCCTGCAGAGTTTAGCTCTAACCCTAATCAAACACACACTTGAGCATGCTAATCATTGTCTTCAGAATCATTAGAAAATCACAGGTAAGTGAGTTTTATCAGGGTTGGAGCTAAACTCTGCATCGCATTGGCCCTCCAGGGCAAGATTTGAGGGACCCTGCTTTAGAATCAAGTGAATTCGATTCACAACATTACCAATGTGTGGTTTTTACGCTTTTCTCAGACAGTACCACTAGGCGGCGCACTCTGATAGTTTGATTAATTCTATTCAGATCAATTCTATAATCAGCCTCGAACTAAGAATGTGCTCATTAATGCAGGTGACAAATGCACTTCCTTTCAAGTATTAGCAGACTGAACTGAGTTTGTCTGCTCAGAACATCGATAAAAGAGAGGGAGAGTGAAAGGCTTTCGAGCCAATGCAGATGTGGAGAATTCCCTCAAGTATAGCTCTCAGGGATATGAACAGAGTGTGGTATGAATATTTCAGTAATCTACCACAGTGATGATCATGTCACTTCCACCTCTCTCTCTCTCTCTCGCTCTCGCTCACTCAGTCTCTCTTTATTTAACTACATGTGCACCTTTTGGATATACAATTGTTCTCCAGCGCCTGCCTTCATTAGTGGTTCATTTGACTTGCCTTTGTCTTAAATGAGAGAGATGTTGCAGCATATGGCCAATTAAAAATCACTTTGTGCTTAATTCCAAACGAGTCCCCTTGGAAAACCTAAGAAGAGTGGGCCTGGAACGGAGAGCTTCTGGAGGACAGTCACGAGATTTGGGGCGAATGGACATATGGCTGCTTAATGATTTGTTCTCTGTCATCAGTATAATTACTGAAGCATTCAGCCCCTCCCATTGCCCACACCTAATGGAAAAACGTATGACACATCAAGATAAGGAGTCATGCTATACTGTAAGTCTACAAATACATCACAGTCGTGCTGATATTCAGACCAACAGCATGACGGCAAATGTGCTACTGGTTTAAACATCCTGTCAGTAATCGATGTATAGAACCAAGTCCCACCCTATATTTTTTATTTTTCATTTATATGTTACACTCGAATGTACATCACAATACGGAAGAAAAGATTTCTTGCTACTTCCATTTCATTGCAACTTTGTTTGCTGGAACTTTGTATTGACAAATTAGAAGCCATAAACAGAGCTCTCCATTTTATAAAGTGTTTTATTAGGATGCCATTTGATTAACAGGCTCAAGTGTTCATACCTTTTAAGGAAATAAGATTGTTTATCATTGCTGAATTTTATAGCAGATGAGATATTTAACTTTGGCTTCTCACAATGGCTTCTAAAACAAATACAGAAATCACAAAGGCCTACATAAAATAAAAAAAATCACATATCACCTAAAAATGACTTTGTCAGTGTTTCCTTTGACACCCTTTTCTTACTGATTGTGATATTTAAGCAAAAGCGGGGATTCACCATTTAATAGGGGTATCTTATTGTTTATGAAATTATCTTATTTTACTTGGTGCCCATAGATGAACAAAATACGAAAAACACTTTTTTCTAATTAGCTGTTACTTTTTATTAGGGTAAAATGGGACAATCTAGTAGTACACTTTTATTTAACATGAAGCGAGACCTGGCTTTAAATCCCAAACAATAGACCAAACAAATGAACTTGACAGCTATGATCATCATGAATTTTCATTGAAGTAGCTTTGAGTTTGGAGAGACATGAGGATGTTAAAGCAAAAGATCTAAAGATGACGACTTTATTGGACTTAGACGTATGATCTCTACCACAGTGTTAGACAAGAATGCAAATTATTATATATTTTTTTGCATTTAAAATTGCATTTAAAATCCACTTGGCTCAATCTGGGGAATGTGCATCTGCATCGAATGGGCTCGACACTTCTGCCACACCAGATAACAAGATAAAATTATAATGTAGTTATTTGCATTACACTTAATGGTTGAAATGCTATATTTCCACTTTACGCTGCACGGTTCGGTTTACATCATGAATCTTGAATCCCCTGGTGAAATGAACCAATTGCTTTTTACAGGCCTCGCTGCCTTCTCTTGTGCTGTTACTTCTCAGAACATCACTCACATGACACATTTTACCAATTTAGACCGCCCAAGAGATTGGTAATATATCATTTGCGGTCAAAGGGGTTGCTTATTTTTCTTTGTCGCTTACTTACTCATCCTCCTTCTTATGTGCTTCGTCACGTAACATGCCTTCTCTGCCCATTCTTGCAGTTAGAAAATGTGCTGCAGGTTGTCCTCGACATTTTTTTAACTGGTCAGTTTTGTCTCTGCATTAATTAATAGCTGTGATTAATAACCAAAGATTACAGGGTATATAATAAAATTTTATCAGTTAATGAAATTACGGTATTTAACTGTAAATTTAAGTTAAAACCGTAAAACCTAAAACGTTGCTACCGTATTTTTTACGGTAAAATTCCGGCAACCACAGCTGCCGGTTTTCTACCGTAAATTTTACGGATTTTTGTTACAGTGCACAGTGATTTCTACTTGGCAGAAAAACAAATTGCATGAGCATCATGCGATTCATAAAGGTCTCACACATTTCATAGCTGCATTCAGATGGAACTCATTTACTGACTTCTTCCCCTTTTTATTTATTCCATTCCATTTTAATCTTAAAATCTTGACCTGATGTCAAGCAAAGCCTTATTTTTAAATTCTAAGCACACTGCACTTTGATGATGAACAGCCCCAAAATATGTAAAAATAAGACTTGTTTCTTTTCCTGTAAGTGAATACAATAAGAATAATTGATGAAATATTAATTTTAAAAGCTTTAGATTATCATTATCAGTAACAATCCCTCTTCAAATGGATGAGCCTTATTCTTTTGATCATTAAGGACCAAAACAGTACAGCTAATTATTTACATCACAAGCCAGCTTGAAAGTTTTTCAATTAAAAAGCTATTAGATGTTTCTTAAGGTCATGACTTCTCTGTTGCCCAAGAATACTGATGATCTACGGCATGTTTTTGCATCACAAAGCAGAAACGTCCAGTGAAGTTGACGCCGCATGCATAATTATCTCTACGTTCAAAACCTAGAATCAAGCCCACGCTATATAATTTTGCATTTAATGTATTGCAACATCACGACTCAGCCTGTCACACTGTTTCCAGTCCAGTGCAGATTATACAGTAGGGTGTGGGCTAATCAAATGTGCTTCAAGCAGTGTATTAGGCCCACAGCACTTGAAACACGAGCTAGGCAACTAAGCTTGTCAAAATACACCATGGACAGAGAGAGATTATTCTTGCCATATCCTCTAAGAACCTCATGTGAATATGCAGTGTCTATTATTCCTGTGAACGCCATTTATTGAGCTGGCACAAGAAATAAGTCCTGTGTCCACTGAGGGAGTTGAGATGGGGCAAATCCAGACCGTTCCCATCTAGGCTGCTGTACAGAAAGAGCGGCTCCACCTGAGATGGGAAGTAAATGGAGAAGAGCGAGAAAGCAGTGCAAGTGATTTTCTAGCGGAACCGGTCGTATCCAGTGTGTTAAAGATTTCCGTGCTTAAGAAAACTGTGAAATTACAAGTGCACAGGGATGATGCTTTGTTATGGAGGTTTGGGCAAAAATCCAATGTAAGATGTACACTGTAAAAAATTATTGTGATTTTAACAGTAAAAGACTGTAAAAATGCTACAGTAAAAACCTATTAACTGGTTAACAGTAAGTTTCCATACTACATTCGGTGAATAAATGTAATTGCATTTAATGTAATTTTACAGTAAAATACTGTTAAAATACGATTTTTGGAAGTGAAAAAGAAAAAGTAATTGTATAAGTTACAGTGAAAAAACGTAAATTGACACAATTCCCAGAATTCCCTGCAAGACCCTTCATATTTGATGTTTTTTTTGTTTAACCACAGCTGCCGGTATTTTACCGTAAATGTCACAGATTTTTTTTTACAGTGTAGGATACAGACATGGGCTGCATTCAGAATTGCATACTCTCTAGGTACTTCTTTAGTACTGTTAAAAGGTATGTTTTTTATAGCATGAATGTGTTAATATTGATGTACCGCATTTGTCATGTTGTCTTTGCCATGACCCACCATCCTGTCCCGCGGCGCAGTGATCCATATAAGTGGTGATCAGGTGCGCATGCACGGCCGAAATAACAAATGCGCTGGGTAAATAAGCTCAGAATACTCATTTGCTGTTAATGCACAATCACCGTTTTCATTTGTGCCTAAATAAACTAACTAAATAAA